GAACAGAGCTCACAAAAAAGTAAAGATCCGAGAGCTTCCGGAGGGGGACAAGGGAAACTGAGGGCAGGCGCAGAAGCTAATGCCAAGGTGAGAGCCCCAGCTGCCGTTCCTCTGCTCTCCCGCATTTCCAGTGCCTCCTCACCCTTGTGTCAGCTTCCTGCCCGCGGAAGCCGGGTTGGGTGGGGATCACCCCTGCCTACTGGGATGGGCGCCGGCTTCATCTGCAGGGATTATCAGGCCTGGTGGAGCTGGCTCCAGCAGCCACAGCCTTCAGGGCCTGACCTCCCCTGCTCTCCACCTGTGACCTCAGAGAGCAGGGGCTGTCACTCTGGGTATGTGGCCTGGTGTTTTCTCTCCTCTGTGGGGTTTTCTGGACCTCTCGGGGGAGAGAGATACTGACCATCCCCTAAAATGTGGAGACTCTGCCCAGTGGAATGATCTGTCTGCCAGCGGTCAAGCCAAAGAAACCTTTGCTCAGCCAGACTGTGGGTCCGTGGAGCTCCTCAGCTCCAGATGGAGCCGTTGCCTGCCCTGAGGACGTTATGCCACAGCCCGTCGCCCAGGGGACAGGGACCCAGAGAGCCTGGGAGGAGCAGTGAACCCACAAAGCAAGAAATGTCCTTTCCCCCAGGCCAGCCCCCCCTTGCAGAGCCTGACTAGAACAGCTTCTCAGCAGGGACGCAGGGAGCCCTCAGGTGGTCCCTGCCACCTGCCAACCCCCCTGCAGGGTGGAGCTGCTGAGCCAGAGCAGAGCCCAGGCCCACGAAGCTTTCCGAGGCACAGGGAAAGAAAGGCCCTGTCCTCCATCTGGACACCAGAAATGAGGCTTGCTTCACCTGCTCTTCCTGCTGACCAGCACCAGCCGACTCAGTAGCCTCCCTCTGTCCTGGAGGGGCCGGAGGGGGCGGCGGTCACAGACGCATCCCCCAGCCCAACCCTCAGCCTCCCCACTACCCCACCCCTGCTCCGCACCCAGTCTGTGGGGCCACAGCGCAGCCTCAGAGGCAGCCTGGGACAGGAAGAGGCCTGACCAGGGACAGTCCCCTGGGGAGGACCAGAAGTCAGGGCCCGGGGGCTGAGTGCCTGACAAGAGGCCCTGCCACACTGGCAGCAAAGGCGGTGGCAGGGAGCGCAGCCGCGGTGGCAGCCGGCGCCCAGGGCAGGCCTCGTGCCCTTGTGGCCAGGGTGACTGAATCTGCCAGCTGTGGGGCCCGTTCGTGCCAAGTCTGCCCTGGCTCCGTCTGGTCGTAATCGATGCTGGCGCCAGGCCAGGCCCCCTGCCAGCTCCGGTCACACTCGGCTAACGAAAGAGGCCCAGCCCATTAACTCCTTGCCAAGGCCCATTGTCTGGGTCCCTGCCCAGTGGTTTATTTACTCCAGGGCTGGCCGGGCCAGGGCTGGGAGGTGACAGCGGGGTGGACTGCTGGGGCAGTGGAGTGGGGGTGGGGAGGGCTAGGGAGGCTTAGGCCTGAGGAGGGGGCTGAGAGCAGGAGTGGGGCAGGCAGGATGGTGGTTTCCAGAGCCCAAGGGCAGCCCACGCTGTGAGGGTTTTTTGTGTTCTGTGTGTGTGTGTGTGTGTGTGTGTGTGTGTTTTGCTACATCAAAGATTCCCTGTATAGGCAGATGCACCTCCAGAGGCCCACCCGATACCTCAGGGGTGAGAGAGGGCACAGGAGAAACAAGACCTTAACTCCCCAGACAGCTGCCTTCAAAGCCCCTTAAATGATTTTTACATGACCTCCCCTCTTGTATGTAAGTTGGCATTTGAAATTTTCCATCACAAATTTGTATAGTTCCAAAGGATATCCTTTTAAGCACTTTATGAATATTTTTTCACTTTCTATATGCCTTTATTATATTTTATAGTCAAGAAAATTCAAAGAAAAATGAATATTGACATTTTCAAACAAAAATTGTATCTTTCTTGTAAATGTCCAGTGGAATCTGAATGTCAGAGCAATTCTGTGTCCAACATTATCCATTTTAAAAAATAGGAGAACAAACTCTAATTAAACAGCTTAGAAGTTTACATTATTCTGTTCTCTCCAAGAACTTGTATTTCCATTCTACTCCTGTTACAGATTTTATGCTAATGTAAGGTTTTTTATTTTTATTTTTGATAGGGTTTTGCTGTGTCGCTCATGCTGGAGTGCAGTGGTGTCATCCTGATTCACTGCAGTGGTGTCATCATGATTCACTGCAGCCTCGACCTTCTGGGCTCAGGTGATTCCCCCACCTCAGCCTTCTGAGCAGCTGGAACTATAGGCCTGTACCACTATGCTGGGCTAATTTTTGTATTGTTTGTAGAAACACAGTTTCACCATATTGCCCAGGCTGGTCTGGTCTCCAATTCCTAGGCTCAAATGATCCGCCCACCTCGGCCTCCTGAAGTGTTGAGATTACAGGTGTGAGCCACAGCACCCAGCCTGTATTTATTTTTTATGCTTGAAAATCTTTTATTGGCTAGGCATGGTGGCTCACGCCTGTAATCCCAGCACTTTGGGAGGCCGAGGTGGGCAGATCACAGGGTCAAGAGATCAAGACCATCCTGGCCAACATGGTGAAACCCGGTCTCCACTAAAAATTCAAAAATTAGCTAGGCGTAGTGGCACACGCCTGTAGTCCCAGCTACTCAGGAAGCTGAGGCAGGAGAATCGCTTGAACCCAGGAGGCAGAGATTTCAGTGAGCCGAAATTGCGCCACTGCACTCCAGCCCGGGTGACAGAGCGAGACTCTGTCTCAAAAAAAAAAAAAAAATTCCTCTGTTCCCAAAGCTGAGCATTAATTTTTGTTATGATTTTAGTGTTAGAATAGTTTATACCCAATTGATCAGAGCAATGTAAATAATTATGAAATTTGATAAACAACTATTAAACATAAAAGGTAAATTTTTATTGGAAATGCATCTCTTTTTTTTTTTTTTGAGATGGAGTTGTTACCCAGGCTGGAGTGCAATACACCATCTCCGCTCTCCGCAACCTCCGCCTCCCAGGTTCAAGCGATTCTCCTGCCTCAGCCTCCCCAGTAGTTGGGATTATAGGCGTGTGCCACCACGTCCGGCTAATTTTGTATTTTTAGTAGAGACAGGGCTTCTCCATGTTGGTCAGGCTGGTCTCGAACTCTTAACCTTAGTTGATCTGCTTGCCTTGGCCTCCCAAAGTGCTGGGATTATAGGCGTGAGCCACCGCGCCCAGCTGGAAATGCATCTCTTAATAAAATTGTTGGGGGCTGAGACAGGTTTCCTTCTCAATTAGTGTATGTATATGTGGATGACTTATTGCTAGACCCACACAAGGTTCAACATGAATTTTACACCCATGTTTAGTTTTTTGTAGGTTTAAACATGGAGAAACACCGTCCACGTAAATAAATAAATGGAAGCCAATGAGTTTGTTATGAGAATGTCATTCAATTCTTTGAACTTCTTCCAAGTTATATGCCTAATAACATTATTATCAAAATGTTTTTTATGATCCGCTGACAATTTGATTAGTGCCTCTTTCAATTTTGCTGAAAGCAGAGCTGGAAGCCACTTGACTTGCAGAAAGACTTTGCTCCTCTGTCACTTGACCCCCAGGAGTCACTTTGTTTGATGACTTGGAGATTTCTACCCCTAGGGCAGTGCCCCAGAGTGGGGGGTCCCACGGGTGAGAGGGGCAGCTTTCTCTTGTAAGTCTGTCTTCCCCAGCAAATGGGGAAGGGGATGCCTTGTCTTAGATGCCTTTTTAGGAAGATTGCTTTTAGGAAAAAGAGCATAGAAAAACTGAGGATCAGAAAATGGATTCTCCTCAAACTATCTTGATTCACAAACCCCTTTGGGCACCCCTGGTGGTATGTCACAATCTTATGAGTAAGAGACTGGAAATGTACCTGGGGGCCAGAACATAAGTTTTGACTCCTGTGCTAGGAGTGAGCTAAAAAATGGATATGATTCAAATACGTAGATGCCTGTGGCCAATATTCCAGTTCTTCACAGTCCTCAGAATGCCCTGGCAGTGCTAACCTCCCTTTAGTCCAGGCCTCCTCAAGCTCAGACCTGCAACTTCTTCATTCTTACTGGGTATTGAGGGTTCCCTGAACTGAAGGAAGAAAGTGACTGGAGGCTGGGAGAGACCCGGTTCGGCAGAGTTAGAAACATCATTCTATCTCAGGGTTCTAGGCAAGTGATCTCCACATAATCAGCAACAGATGGACAGGCAGCACCTCCAAATATTTGTGTCCTTGTCAATCATATTTATGTGTGACTGTCAATCCATATGTCATGTGTATTGAGATTTACTTTAGATTTTTTTTCTTTTTTCTTTTTTTGAGACGGAGTCTTGCTCTGTTGCCCAGGCTGGGTGCAGTGGCGCCATCTCGGCTCCCTGCACTTCTGCCTCCTGGGTTCAAGTGATGCTCATGCCTCAGCCTCCCAAGTAGCTGGGACTACAGGCATGCACCACCATGCCTGAATAACTTTTGGTAGAGACAGGGTTTCACCACATTGGCCAGTCTGGTCTCGAACTCCTGACCTCAAGTGATCCATGCACCTCAGCCTCCCAAAGTGCTGGGATTACAGGTGTGAGCCACCATGCCCAGCCTGTATTCCCTACTCTTAATAGATTATCTTGTAAACCTTTTTTGTAGCCCATTTCTGTAGACTCAAGAGCTTTCATTCAAGGTCATTTTTAAAGCCCCAGTGGATGTGTGAAAGGGCGGTAATGGATGTCACTGACCTCTGTTCTGGCCTTGGCAAAAGCATGTGATCTTCCAGTGTTTACTAAGATTATGTGCCAGACACTGTGCTGGGCCCTAAGAATGTAAAAAGACACAATCTTTTGTTGTATCACAATGTGAGTGTAGTTAATACTACTGACCTGGACTCTTAACAGTGGTGAAGGTGGTAGATCTTATGTGTTTTTGTCCAGAATGTTTTTGTTTTTGTTTTTTTTTTTTTTGAAGACACCATCTCTGCCCTTAAGGAGGTTGTGGCATAGTGGAGGAAACAGAGAATCCACTAATTCATTTACCTGGGAACTTTTAATTAATAGAGTGCCAATCATATTCTAGACTGGTGCAGGTGCTGAGGATAAGCCTAGAAGCAAACCAGGCACAATCAGCCTCTTATGGAGCTTACTGTCCGTGGCCAGGTAGGAAATGTGCACCTGCCCTGCCCAGTACAGAAACTAAAATTAAATTAATTATGATTAAATACAATTTAACATAGTCTCTGCAGCCACAGTTTAAGTGCTCAGAAGCCACAGGCAGCTAGTGCCACTATAGAGGACAGCACAGCTAGAGAAGTTTTCCAACACTGCAGACAGCTCTTAGCATGGTCAGTGTGCAGATGGATGAGCCAGATCGTCAAGTGGGGGCCTTGCCAGTCTCTCCAGTGCCTTTGTGCCAGTTTCAAAAGGTTTTCTCTCTGGGCAGGTGCAACTCCTTGCCAAGGATGAAGCTTGTGGAGCAGGATATGGTTCCGGGCCTAAGAGAAGTCAAGGTGTAGAGAACAGGAGATGCAGATCACCACGTGGTCACCAGGTCCCTGGAGTAAAGGACTCCAGACTCTGAAGCTGTATGATCTCATCTCCCACGACACACTCCCACAGTGCACCACGTGCGCTGCTCATGCTGTTCTCCCAGTCTCGTTCCTTTTCCCATCTCTGCGCCTCCCAAATTCCCCTCAAGGCCCAGGTGAAATTCCACCTTTTTCCTCCTCAAAGCCTTCCCTGAACCGTTTGTGAGGCAGACTGACATTTACTGAGCATAGTATTTGTACTACAGTATTTGTGTTATTGGTGGGAGTCTGGTGAGGCTGCAAGATGAAAAGGCCCTTAGACTTTCACTGTGGGTGGTTCTAACTCCCTGTCCTAAATTTGGGCCTTCACAGCCAAGTACACGCATCGCCAGTGCACATCCCCCAGGTGAAGAAAGGCTCTAGAACTCTGCACACTTCCCCTTCCCACCCCACGACTTCTGGCAAGCAGTGCCTTACATATCTTTGTCCCCACTTTTTTCCTCACTAAAAGATACCCAAAAAGGATTCTTGCCTCAATGATCCAACATGAGAAGTAGTGAGACCAACTCTTACCAGCTGACAATGACTTAATCATCTTCAGAGATTCTCAAAAGAAGCCGGAATGTAAAGAGCCGCTCAGCTGGTATTGTTCTCAAAGAAGACTTAAATGGAGACAGTTCTCACTCTTCATCTGCGTCAGAAAATCCACTTCCTCTGGGTGAGTTTCAGAAGGGGTAAATGTTGTTGCTCAAATTCCAGAGTGATGAAGATGTGTCAACAAAATGCTTCCTGTGGATCTCTGGCCAGCTGCCTCTTCAGCCCTGTAGACCCCCTCGCTGAGCCTGCGCCCTGCCTAGAGTTAGGCTGCCGTTTCCTATCCTGTTTTCACAGATGGGGCCTTGGCCAGTCAGCCTGAGGAACTGTCCCTGTGCTGATGCTGGGGGTGCAACCCAATGAGAAGAGGACTGGCTTTGAAGTCGGGCCTGGGTTCAAATCCTGATTCTGCTACAGTCAGCCAAGTGACCCTAGGCAAATAACTGAAGACTTCTGAGCCATTGCCGTGTTTGTAAAATGGATGGTAATACCTGCATCACAAGATTGCTGAGGGACCTCAATGATAATACATTTCCAATGTATGATTTAGGGCTAAGATCCTGGCCCTGCCACTTATAAGCTATGGAGTGTTAGGCAAGTTACTTAGATGTTCTATGTGTCACCTCCTCCCTAAAGCGTGAAAATAGTAGAGGCTAATTTCTAGGGCCATTGTGAGGATTACTGAATGCCTGACTCATGATGAATGCTCAGTGAATATTGGCCTCCAGCAACTGGGGTAAGCAAGGTAGTTATAGTCCCTGCCCAGAGGGCCAGGGAGAGTCACACATTTGCTATGGGTGAAGCCTGGATGAGAACCCAGCTCCCTGCATCCTAGTCCCAGGCTGCAAATCAAGCCTCTGGCCACAGCCTCCTTCTGGCTGGCTCCCTGGGCTCACTTCCAGGCCCATGGAGCTGCTGAATAGCGGACAGCCCATCCCAGGAGCCAGGCTGCTGGCTTCGCTCCCTTCCAGAGGGCCTGGGAAGCCTCTTCATGTCAGTCTGTGGCTTTGTCACTTGCCCCTGATGGAGTCTGCCCTCTCTGTGGGCAGTTTCCTCTCCCTACTCATGGCTGATGTTCACTTCCATGCCCAAAGGAGTGTCAGCCTGCCCACTTGGCTGCTTAGGATCAGAGTGGCATGGGACAGTGCAAGCAGCATTTTGGAGCCATTGAGGAGGAAGAGGGCAGGCCTTGGCTATGCCTCTCAGTGATGCTGACAGAAGGAGGGTGGTTAATACAAAGCCAGGGCTTAGCTACAAGTTGGGAGGGCTGAGGACACAGGAGCTAGAAGAAGTCAAGGAAAGGAGGAGACAGAGGCTCGGATTTGCAGAGCTAAAAGAGACCTCCTCTCCTCTCCATTTTGTAGATAAGGAAAATCATGCTCATTTTGCCCAATGTTACATCATGGTTTGTAGGAAAGATTGGGATGACAATCCAGTCTCTGGAGTGCGTGCTTGACTTTCCTTCCAGTGCCCAAAGCTGCCCTCTCCTCCCACCCCGAACACTCAGTGTCTGGCAAGTCCCCTCCAACGCCAACATCACTGCCTCACTGTGGTCCACGGCCCATGGGCCCTGGCTGGAGGAGGAGCCGGCATGAGCAGGAGTACCCACCTACCCGAGAGAGACCTTCAGGAGAGCCCATCATGCCCTGTGGCCTTGTGTCCCTAGACACCTCCAGAAGCCTGACACTCTTGTTCATCCTTCATCCCCAAGACTTTCACCCCCATATAGCTCTGTTCCCCTAATTTGACCCAATCCCCCAGATTCTTTCACTCTGCTCTAGGGAACTTGTGGTTTGTCATCAGCAAAATCTCCCCATACTCTTGACTTTCCCTTTGAACATTCCTTTAACCGTCCTGTTCTACTGGAAACCTGCCTGACCCCCAGACACAGCTTCCTTGCAGCCACCTCCTGTCTTGGATCTTTTTTCTTCTTCCACATCCCTCACACCAGTATGCCTGGAGGCGGCGAGTTGTTCTCCTTGCTTTCATGGCCACCTGTAGGTTTCTCCCCCTTCCTCCTCACCCTGAGTCTGCATGAGGGACTCCTTTGCAGCTATGCCATCAGACCAGACCAGCCGCCATCCCTTCTAGTATTTACCATACTCTAGGCCACTCCTGCTCATTCACAGATTTTAGTACCTGGTCCATGGTCTTCCTCTCCACCACCACTCCTCCATGCTTTTCCTAGACCTTAACATTCATTCTTTTGTCCAGCACATGTTTCTGAGCACGTAATATGTGCCAGGTACTGTTCTTAGAATAGAGTTTATAGGTGTAGACCAGAGAGAAAATGTCCCTGCCCTCAGATGCTTACATTCTGATGGCAGCAAGGATAATTAACCAATGAACCAGTCCTATGTAAAATAATGTTAGGCAGAGGGGCCATGAAAGGAAAAGGCAGATGAAGGGGTAGTGGCAGGATGGGGGAGCTGTTTAAGAGATGGTGGACAAGGAAGATCGTCCATGTAGATGTCCACCCAGCACCTCCCACTCTTGGTCTTTGGCCTCCTCACTCTCCACCTCTCGTTCTGCTGCCTCTGCCTTCCACTCCCATGGCAAGGGTTTTGCCTTAGCACTTCTGAACCCCCTGCTCCCTGACCACCCTTCCTGGGCTCTCAGCTCATCTACTCTATTACCTCCATTCAATGATGTGTCCCCTGTGGAAACTCTCCGCCTTTGAACTCGTCCTCTTTCACTGCCTTCAACCCCCTTCTCCAGCTGGATTCTGTAGGTCCTGACAAGAATCACCCATTTGCGGAAGCCCCCTCCTCTCTTGCTCCTTTGCCTTCAATTGGAATCTCCTGACACAGCCTCCACCCTGCTTAAACCCAACACCCCGCACCTGCACTGAGTAGCCAAGCATTGCTGAGGAAACTCACAGTCATCCTGAGTAGCCGCACTGGACGCTTCTGACCACAAACTTCAAGTGAGCACTCAGCTTGCCCAGTCATCCTACTATATTTCTCTATTAAATTCACTGCGCCACTCTCCAGATGAGTGTTTCACATCTTCTCTAACCCTCAACACCTTCCCTTAGCTTCTCGCTGTTAAAGATCTTGCTTCTTATTTTGCTGAGAAACTAAATGCCATCAGCTGGAATGTACCTGCCTCTCACTGTCAGATCTCCCAAGGTGCCTGCATCTGCGCCCACTGGTGCCTTTCTTTCTCACAATGGATGCATGCATGGATGGATAGATGGATGGATGGGTGGATGGATGGATGGGTGGATAGATGGATGGATGGACGGACAGATGGATGGATGGATGGATGGATGGGTGGATGAGTGGACAGATGGACGGACAAACAGACGGATGGATGGACAGACAGATGGATGGATGGATATATGGACGGATGGATAGAGGGATGGCCTCCTCTTGCATTCCTGGCCAATCCCTTCATTTTGTGCACCACATCCCTTCACTTGCTCAAGACTTTGCCTGAAATCATCTTTCTCCCTCCTGCACTATCCAGCTCCTTCTCTCTACCAGACCATTCCCTTCAGCACATAAACGCACTATGATCACTCTCATTTTCAAAACAAACTCTTCCTTGACCCTAAACCCTCTTCAGCTTCTGCTCCACTTCCTCCTCCCTTTTACGCACTCCTCCTTGAACTGGTTGTCCCTGCTGGCTACCTCTCCGAATCCTCACCTCCACTCCCTCTTAGCCTGCACCAGCCAAGCTTTTGTTTCTGTCACTCCACTGAAATTGCCCTTGTCCAAGTCACCAGTGACCTCCTATTGGCGCATCCAAAAGGTCTGTCTCCTAGTCTCACCTCCTCAATTTCTCAGTAGCGTTTGCACAGTAGGGCACTCGCTCCTCCTTGCAACACTATCTTTTCATGGAGTCCAGGACTCCACACTGGTCTGGCTTCCTCCTACCCCGATGGCAGCTCTTTCTCTGCCTCCTTCGCTGGCACCTCCTCTTCTTGATCTCTAAATGTGAGCGTGGTGTGGGGACTTTTTTCTTGTTTACAGTCTCTGCTGGTTAGATGGTTAGATTCCATCTAGGCCTGTGCCTTTAAATGTCCTCTAGAGGTTGGGATCTTTGAGAGGCAACATGGAAGCGAGTGGAGAAGCTTGCTGGGGTGTGAACCCCTGCTCTGCCCCTGGTGTGATGTTGTTGCTGTTAAATTCTTCACGTAGGATCGGGTCTTACATGGGGCCTGAGACAAAGGCTTAAGCATGAGTAGTTTATTTGGGAACATGATCCCAGGGAGCAGGGTGAGGCGGAGGAGGAAAGAAACAGAGAAAGCGGGGAGTCAATGTGGGAGTGTGTTAACATCTCTCTACGTGAACACCACTCAGTCTTTCAGTGAAGCTTTGTGAAATGTACTTCAGAACCCACTGGAAGAAGGAGCACAGTTATCCATTGGCTCCTCTCGAGTCATCCCACGGAACGTTAGCTCCCCTTCACTTCTGGCCGGCTCATGTGTCAATGCCAAGCAGGTTCCACGGGTATCCCCCCATCATGGTGTCAGGCGAGAGGCATGTGGAAAGGCCCTGTCAGGCCGCATTTACACGGCGCTGGTCAAGACCTGTGCAAAACTGGTCACTGGGGCAATGGCTGGAACAAGAGGTCAGGCTGCGGGCATTTGAAGTGGCACATAGGATTCGCCCCGTATGGACAGGAATAGCTACAGCTCTCGCCTCAGAGGTTACTGAGAAGACTAAATGATTTAATGTATGTGTTTGGAGGAGTGTCCGGCTCTTGGCAGTGACCATCTACATGGTGGTGACCCTGCCCTGACATCCCCTCTGCCTAGCAGACACCTCGGAGGCCTGTCATGTCCAAAACAGCTCATATGCCCCATCCCTCCCGTTGTCCAACTATTCCTCCAGTCTTTTTACTACAGTTAAATGGCCAAGATTCATCTCTCTCTCTCCCACCCCCCACATCCAATTAATTATCAAACTCTAGCTTCAGAAAATACCCCAGTCTGGCCTTCTCATTAATCCTCATTGCAAAGCGACTGACCCAGGCCAAGTCACTATTGCTCCTTGCCTGGTCCACAGCACTAGCTTCCCGACCATCTCCTGCCCCCACTCTCCCCTCCCTACAGTTTGTTCTCCCACAACAGCCTGAGGGAGGATGTTACTGCTGATTAAATCACCCTCTAACAGCTTCCTATTATCCTTTTTATATTTTTAATTTTTAAAATCCTTTTTAAAAAAATAACAAGGCTGGGCATAGTGGCTCATGCCTATAATCCTAGCACTTTGAGAAGCCAAGGCAGGAGCATCACTCAAGCCTAGGAGTTTGGGGCTAGCCTGGGCAACATAGCAAGACCCCTGCTTCTACAAAAACAAACAAACAAACAAACAAACAAAAAAACCTTTAAAATTAGCTGGGTACAGTAGTGCTTGCACCTATAGTTCCAGTTACTTAGGAGGTTGAGGTAGGAGGATCACTTGAGCCTGGGAGGTCAAGGCTGCAGTGAGCTGTGACTGTGTCATGTCACTGCACTCCAGCCTAGGTGACAGAGCAAGATCCTGTCTCAAAATAAATAAATGAATCAATAAATAAAGCAGCTTTATTGAGATGTAATTCCCATATCATATAATTCACCCACTGAAAGCATACAATTCAATGGTTTTTTTTTTTTTAGTCTATTTGCAGGGTTGTGCAAGCATCACCACAATCAATTTTAGAACATTTTAATCATCCTTCAAACGAAACCCAGCACCCATTATTAGTCACTCCTCATTTCCTCCCAATCTCCCCAGCCCCAGCCAACCAAGAATCTGCTTTCTGTCTCTCTGGGTTTGTTTATTTTGGATATTTTGTAGAAATGGAAAAATGCAATATGTGGTTTTTCTGACCAGTTTCTTTTTCTCATTATTCTTAAGATAAACCTCAAACTCCCTGCCATGGCCTTCCAGGCTCTCCATGGTCCAGCACCCCCCGGGCTCCCAGCTTTGCTGTCCCTGTCCCAATTCCTCCCATGTCACTCACTGTCTTGAGCAGGCCCCTCTCCTCTCCTTCCCCTCAGGACCTTGACCCTTGCTTGTCCCTTTGCTGGAACTTTTCTTCCCAGATCTATGAATTGGATTCTGCTCAAACGTTACCTCCTCAGAGAAGACTTTCCTCTTCTCCACCCTCCTCCACCTCTCCCTGTGTCTCTTCCCCTGACTACTGGAAATGCGTATGTATTTGCTGGACATTGTGGTCTGCACTTTTATATGCCACCTGCTATGTTCTGAATGCTTGTGCCCCCCACAGTTCACATGTTGAAATCTTCACCCATGAGGTGATGCTGTTTGGGAGGTGCTTAGGTCACGGGGGTGGGGCCCGCACAAGGGCGTTAGTGCCCTTACAAAAGAAGCACTGATAAAAATGAAGACACTCAGTCCCCAGTGACACCCTTCCACCAGGTGAGGACAGTGAGAGGTGCGGTCTATGAGCCAGGAAACAGGCTCTCACCAGACACCGAATCTGATGGCACCTCAATCTTGGACTTCCCACCCTCCAGAACATTGAGAAATAAATTTCTGTTGTTTCTAAGCCACACAGTCTATGGTATTCTGCTATGGCAGCCTGAAGGGACCAAGACACAGCCTCGCACCCCCAGGTACCAACTACACTCTCTTCCCTCAGGCTCTCCTCATAGACTGTCTTCCTAGAATCCCGTGCTCCCCCAGGAGAAAAAAACCCATTTATCAGCTGTAAGGCTTACTGCTCAAACACAAATAAAACATCATGGCCCGAAGGCACTCAGTCCCCAGCCATCTGTGCAGCCTCATAAGCAAAGCTGCAGTCAGTGGCTGCAGCTCTGTGTGCTCCAGGCTTCCGTCTGGGCTTCACCTTCTTCCTACCTTTCTTCTTTAGAGGCCTCATATTGCCTCCTTCCTTTCTATTTAAAAATATTAGCTTATCCCAATACTTTGGGAGGTGGAGGCGGGAGGATTGCTTTAGGCCAGGAGTCAGAGACCCCCCTACCCCGGGCAACATAGTGAGACACTGTCTTTACAAAAAGTGAAAAATTAGTAGGGTGTGGTAGCACAGGGTGTGGTAGCACGTATCTGTAGTCTCAGCTAATCAGGAGGCTGAGGCAGCAGGGTTGCTTGAGCCCAGGAGTTTGAGGCTGCAGTAAGCTATGATTACGCCATTGCACTCCAGCGTGGGTGACAGCGTGAGACCTTGGCTCTAATAAATAAGTAAATAAATACATAAATAAATAGCAGCCTGTTAGGGAAAACAGGAAACAGGTCTTTTCATACGTTGCTGGTGGGGATGAAAGCAGTGCAACCTCTATGGAGGACAATTTGCAATCTCTCTCAATTACAAACCCTTGAACACATCCTACAGATGTACCTGCCCACGTCTGAAAGGACATACATGGCACAGTCTGAGAGCAAAAGATTGGGGACCAGCCACCCAGTACTATCAATAGAAGACTGGTTTAGAACAAGGAACACTTTGCGGCGGTAAGAAAAAATGGGGAACCTTCTCTGTGTGGATATGGGACAATCTCCAGGATGTATGAGCAAGAAAAAGCATGTTTGCAGTAAACAACCTTTGGAATAATGAAGAGGAAAACTAAGAATGTGTATTTACATAAGTAAATCCTGCAAGGACATAACATTTTTTATATCAGAAATTGGGAACTGTTAGGGAAAAATTAGGAGGAAAACTTCTCACTGAGCCATTGATGTCATTTTTGTATTTGAACCGTATGACTGTTACATATTAAAATGTAAAATTTTAAAATATATGAAACAAATTAAAATCCTATTTGGAGGAGTTCTCATTTTCTGAAGATTTTAAAATCTTTCTTCCAAGAAACTGAAAGTGTTCAGTAGTCAGGGTTGGATGCAGATAGTGTCCTCCCTAAGATGTCAGCTGACAGGTGGGGTGTGGCCTCTCAGCTCACCCAGGACAGGGGCCTTGTTTTATTCATCACCGTGTTCCCAACACTGTCACAATGGATGACACACAGCAGGCACTCACTGAATGTCTGGAATGAAATACTAAATAAACGCATTAATAGAAAGATCCCTAACTGAATAACAGAGATATTTCAGTCTCGGTGAAGGGTCCACGCTGATACAAAATTGTCAAAATGGATGACTTGGAGCAAGGAGGAAATAGCAATGCTGTTTAAGTCCCAGATCAGAAGGTAGCACCCCACATAGTGCTGCCGCTGTCCCAACAGCAGATTTCCTGTACTTTTCTTGATACGTGGGGTCTGGATAACAATAATGAGGAAATGCCAAACATAGCGTCATCACAGTGATGAAGCCACAAATAAGCCACTGTGGGCAGATCACCTGCCTCGTGCCCTCTCCCCAGGAGTGCCAAGCTCGTCTTTCATAGGCCTTTGCCTCCACGCACCTGAGGGCAAACTGTGAATTGGCAGTGACTCCCAGCCAGAGCTCTGCGCCCGTGGCCCTGTGGCACTGCTGCAAATGGGCCAAGCACGGTCTGAGTACACAGTGGACTCCTGGCCACGGCCCTGGGTGGTTGGCATCAGTTATATCCTGAAAGGAGCATCAAGCTGTGTGGGAGCCAAGAATGAAGGCTGCTGGGTGCCGCGCCGGCATGCTCCCTCACCTCCTCCAAGCGCTGGCTGCCACCCTGCAGCTGGTCTCCGCCTGAGGTAGAGGAGTGTGGTGCAAACGGTGGCTTCTGCTGGGCCCTGCCTCTCCCTCCTCCCACACCTGACTCAGGGGCTCCTGTAGAGGGGTGTCTCTGTTTCCCCTCAGGCCTCCTTTGCTCAATCGTCCTCTCTCTTCCTGCTCTGGGGTGGGGACTTGTCTCTGAGTGGGGAGTGGGGCTTTTCTGCAGACAGGAGGCCACCAAAGTCCCGAGCCCAAGGCCCCGCGGCCCCGCAGGGGGAGTGCTGAACTGAAGCATTGCCTGGAGCTGGATCTGAGAGAAGCCAGAGCTCTGGGCCCTGTGAGGCTCGTGCCTGCCAGATTCCTGCATCTCCCTCCCTCTTCCCAGGTCCTGGCTCTGGACCCAGTGAGCAGCCCTTTGCCATGACCCTGTGTGCCATCCACCTGTCCCCGGGGGATGTGAGCACTTGCCCGGCAGCCCGGGGCTGGGGACGTGGGCAGGCTGTTAGGATGGTTCAGCCTCTGCTCCAGGCTAATGCTCCTGAAGATGTGTCCCAGCCAGGAAGCTCCTGGCACTTTCTGTCTCATTGTCTCAGCATAAGCAGTATTCAGAGGTGTCCCTGGAACACCTGGCTCAGAGGGCAGCTGGGTATTTGCCCAGGCTCTGTGGCAACCTGCCGTCTTCTGGGATAGCCAGAGGGCTGAGCCTGCCAGAGTGCCAGCACCACGGCTTCAAGGCTGTCTTGACCAGCAGAGGCCTGGTCCGGCCACACCTTACTTCCTCCTGTTCCTCCCGGTCCTTCCCACTCACCTCTACCCTCCACTCACCCTCTCTTTCTGTAGCACTGCGTCTTACCCCAGGGGAATGCCCAGCCCACACCCAGGCCAGTCAGCTTCTTCCAGAAGGCAGCAGAGCCGGAGCAAGCCCAGGGCTGAGGGGCCTCATGACTGATTTCCCTTCTCAGAAACCTCTCTGACCTCCCAAACTGGAATCTCTGCCTTTGGTTTGCAAGCCAGGAATCACAGATGGGTCACTCAACCAGAGCACTCTTGTGGTATGTCCAGGTCAGAGGGCAGCCAGGCCCTCCCATGCCATCCCCAGCAGCTGGACGGAGGGCGAGAAGCCCCTCCTGGCGCCTCAGGCCCTGAGCCTCTCAGGTTCCCTCAAAGGGAGGGGCTCTGCAGAGCCAGCTGCAGCTGTGGGAAACCACACACCGCAGCCTGCAGGTGCAAGGGGCCTGGGGGAAGGGGAGAGGATTAACTGTTTCTTGGGAGCAGGCCTTTTCCATCCCATCCCTTCCCAAATGGGGGCTCCCCCAGGATGTGGCGTAGCATGCCCCGCAGGGGTGTGGGGTGGGAAGCTGGCTGTGGAAGAGTCACAGGCCTTGTGATCCAGGGATCCCAGAGACAAACCCCTGCCTCAGAGGCCCTGAAGCCCACAGAGAGAGACCAAGATACTCTCACTGACTCTGGGCGGCTTCAGAGGCCACTGAGAAACCCCGGGCACCGTGTCCCACTTCATGTCTAGTTGCCACTCTCTGGAGAAACTTCCTCCAAGTCATAGGACCTGCCCAGGGGAGGCAGAAGGGAACTTCATTCTTGGACTGTGCCACTCACCCCATCAGGGGTCTGCCCCCTGAGGATGCGCAGAGTGCTGCCAAGAGGAGCACCGGGCCGGCCTCAGTGGGGGCTGAGCAGGCGGTTCCTTCCCCCTCAGCCTGGGCCTCTGGGTGGTGACCGTGAGTGTGAGTGGGTAAACCCTAGCTCACCGAGGCTGGGACACTGCTCTCTGGTTGTCAAAGGGGCTGGAAGCCATTCAAGGGGAAAGCCTTCACAGGTTCCGAGAATGACTCCTTTCTGCCAGGCTGTCCCCAAAGGCTAGCGGGATGCTCATGCTGCCCGTGTGCCCGCCTGTCACAGGTCCAGGTTGGTCTGACCTCTCATCCCGCCAGTTACCTGCCTCCTGGTGGAGCACCCACCGAGAACAGTGTCCTGACAAGAGACCCAGGGGGCCCCGGGCCCTGTGGGAAGAGGCCAGAATTGCCTTTGTGTGAGTCCTGCTTCAACCCCTAACTTTCTTCTCACTCTCCCACTCTTCCATGAGAATAAGTAACTCATTCCCTTACTCTTCATTTTCCCTAAATGTGAGAAAGGTGACGCTGTCTAGGAGAAAGTGACTGAGTTCACTCTGCACACACGGGCACCAGCTGCTTGTCAGGGTTGGAAGGTAGACACACATTCTTTCCCTGGAGGAGCCACAGGCTGGCAGGGCAGACGTTCACATGCTATTGAGAGGCAGGGCTCTGCAAGGGAAGGCAGTAAGTTCATGGGGCAGAGGAGGAGCCGATGATGATGGAGATTGTCTGCAGAGCTCACAAATGTTCTATGAAGCACATAGTGCCGGCTGTTTGGAACGAAGCAGAAAGGGGTAAGGCAAAGGGCTCAGGATCAAACTGGGGAGACGGGAATGAGCCACAGTAAGTTGTCTTGACGTCCCCGTGGGGCAGTAGGGGACTATTTCAAAGGGCTTTCAGAATTCAGGGCAGGGTCATTTCCCACGTGGGTAATCAGGGAAGCCTTCTAGAAGGAGGTGGTATTTGAACCGTGGGGAATGTCAGGAGGCTGCACGAGGGAACCTGGCCCTGAGTTGTGGGGACCTTGGTGCCAAAGCCGAGACTGAAGGATGCCTCCTCCTGGATGAACTACCTGGGGGAAAATTAAACTTACTGGAAGAGTGAGAGTCTGCCAAGACACTCAAGTGAGGGAGTGGCGTCTACTGCTTCTCCTCTGCCTGCACTTCCTCGGGAGGGAGCGGTGATTTCTCCTCCCCGTACCCATCAACCTGACCTTCTCCATCTGGCCCACCTTGCCTTTCCATCCTCAGCTCCCACTTCCTTTCCCTAGGAACTGTCCATTACAATCTCTGGTATGACTTTTTTAAAAGCCCATTCAGTCTTTGTCCCCCTTTCCTGGCACAGAGCTTTAAAAACCTTTGGGATCTCCTGAGTGACAGGAATGCCTTTTGTCATTCGTAATGAGCATTTTCATCATACCTGAGGTTATGATAAGAAGGCAACTCAAGGTGGGTCCTTAATTTTAAGGGAGACTGGCCATGACAGAAAGACCAAGCATGTGATCAGAGTGGAAATTTTGTCCCTACTCCCATCCCCACCGCACCGCCAACTTCTGGGACTAGAGATTGAGTTCCTCATGTGGTTAATGATTCAATCAATGGTGCCTATGGAGTAAAGCCCCATATAAAAGCTCGACACTGAAACTGAGAGGAGCTTCCCGGTTGGTGAACACACCAATGTGCTGGGAGGGGGACATGCCACATTCCACGAGAGGAGGGTGTGGCAGGTCTGCACACATACACCCCCCACCCCGCCAACACCTTGCCCTACATAGCTCTTCCCTTTGGCTGTTTTGAGTCTATATGATAATAAAATTAATTGTAAGTTTAGCATGCTCAGTGAGTTCTGTGAGCCATTGTAGCCAACTACTGAACCCTAAGTTTGGGTGGTGAGGACTCAAATTTGTAGTCAAGTCAGACAGAAGTGCCAGTAGCCTGTGGACCCTGCGTGCGCCTGAGTTCTGAAGTAAGGGTAGTCACGGGGACTTTGACATTTAACTTGTGGAGTCCGACACTGTGAAAAAACCAAACTCGGTTTTTCCTCCTATACTCTCTCAACACGTTCCTGACACCAGATGTGGGGGCAGGGGTCTCCCCCACCCACCAAGCAAGCCGTCATTTCTGCAGCAGACACCAGTGGGGCATCCTCCAGTTCGATTCTGACTCTACCTGCCAACAGTATCAGATCACACAGGTTGAGAACTCAGTCCCCTCTCCGCACTTCTGATGCCAAGTGCAAGCCCTGGGTTGTTTCTCCACTGCTCTGTCTGACCAGCTAATTGGGGTTCACTAAAGCAGCTCACAGAACTCAGGGACAACTTACTTACATGTGTTAGCTTATTATAAGGATATTCCACAAGATATACATGAAAAGATGCATAGGGTGAGCTATGGAGGAGGGGTGGAGCTTCTTCAACCTCTGTGGGTGCTCCACCCTCCAGGAATCCCCACGTGTTCAGCTATCAAGAAATCCTCTGAACCTTGCCCTTTTGGGTTTTTATGGACGCTTCATTACGTAAGCCTGATTGACTAAACCATTGGCCACTGGTGATCAACTTA